GTGTGCTGAGTAGGACCCGCCCTCATGTATGATGGATGTGTGCTGAGTAGGACCCGCCCTCACGTATGATGGATGTGTGCTGAGTAGGACCCACCCTCACAAATGATGGTCCATGTGGAGGACCCAGCCTATTGTCAAAGTATTTGTAGGCTCTCTTTTTCCTGTTTCTATCTGGAACAGCAGTTACACTGTGGGGATAGCCTCCATGAAAACTACCAAAGCATATTTTAAATGAGAGCATCCTGGGAGAAAGGAGAGAAAACAAAAAGAGAAAGTCAAGTGTGAAGTTATGGCACTAATTCTTACTTGTATCTGAGGTCGATCCTCAGGTCTTTATTTCTGGCTCCATTTTTCTCCTGGACTCCAGATTCATGAACACCTTTACCTGGCTGTCCCACTACAAACTCAACAGGGGCAAACCCATCCTCATTGCCCCCTCTGCCTTCCCAAACCAACAAGCGCCCTTAATGGTGCCAGTGAAAATGTTCCAGTGGACAGCTCAAGCGGCAGAGACCAAGCACTGCTGGTGACACCTCCCTTGTCCACTGTCACTGGATCTTGCTTCTTCAAGTTTTCTTAACTTAAACCAGCAACCAACCAACCATCGCAAGTTTACTTCTGTGAGCAAAACCTTCATCAACCACATTAGGTCCCTAACAGGCTTTCTTGCCTTTACTCTGTCAGTAATCCGACCAATCTTTCTTCCATTCTGCCATCAGAGATCTTTTCTAAAGCACAGAACTGAACAATGCTGTTCAAGTTTCCCCTGTATGGAAACTTCCTATAGCTTCCAATTTTCAGTAAGATAAAGTCAAACCTCTTTAGTACCAACGGGTTTCAAACCAACCTTTCTCTTCTATACTCATTCTTAGAGACTTAAATATCGTTTCTTTAGTAAGATGGCCTCCAACAAGTTAAAACTAACCATGGCCTTAGCAATGCTCCAATGGTATTTTGTACATGTCTCCTATGGTAGCAATTATACTAAAACATAAATATTTTCAAATTTTGTAAACACCCTACCTTGTGAGTAGAATTTCTATGCCAAAGAATATACTTTATTCAACCTATATCCTCATAGCCAAACACAAAGAAGGTAGTTAATAAATGTTTGCTGAGTGAATGAATAAGTGAATGGATGAATGGATTCTGGATGGCATCAACCAAGATGTTGCAGTGGCTCAATGAATCATTTTTGGAAAGTCTAGCCTATGCAAGATGCTGTGTGAGGCTCTATGGGGATAGAAAGGAGATACAAGAAACATTTCCCACTCATAAGAGCTCTTATAATCTACATATTAAATAACATGGATTATATTTGAAGACATAATATCAACTAAAATAATGCTTTTCTTTTAAAGATATTAATACATAAAATTATATTATTAGATATGCTGATATTGAACTATCTTTGCATTTCTCAGATAAGAAACATTTGGTCATACAGAATTTTCAAAAATATATCCTGGATATGATTTGTAAATATTTTACTTAGGATTTTTGCAACTATGTTCATAATTGAAACTAGTCTACAGTATTTGTGTAGTGAATGCACTTTTTCTGATTTTTGTAGTGCCTCTCTTTTTCCTTAAAAACACCTTTTTTTAATTCTTAGGAACTATTTGTTCTTTATAGATTTGGTAAGTTACATGATAAAGTATTTGGGTTTGATATTGTTTTGGGAGTGAACAAATTTTAAAAATATCTTTTTTTTTTTTTTAAGAGAGAGGGAGCCAGCAGGGGAGAGGGAGAAAAGGAGAGAGGGAGATAATCCCAAGGAGTAGGGCCTGTGTTCAGTGCAGAGCCCAATGTGGGGCTTGATTCCACAACCCTGGGATCAGACCTGAGCTGAAATCAAGAGTCAGATACTCAACTGACTGAGCCACCCAGGTGCCCCAAGAAGTTACATTCTTAAAAAAATGGTTAATATTGTCGATAGCATTCTTGTGATTCTCAAAATCCACGTATGGCAATAATTACATCGGTCTTTGTGTTGCTAATATTATTACTTAGGAAGTCTTCTTTCTTCTTGATTAGATTTGTGTTTTGTTCATTTTATTGATATTTTCAAAGAACCATATTTTGGCTTAATTGATTCTTTCCATTGTTTTGGTCTTCCTTCTCATTAATTTCTGCTCATCTTTTAAAATCTTCATTTCTGAGAGAGGTGTATTTAAATCTCCCTCTCTGGTTGTGGATTTGTTAGTTTATTGTAATTGTTTTGATTATTCCTTCACATGTTTTGAGGCTACTTACTGGTACATATAGGTTCACAAGTATCTTACCATCCTTTTGAATTGCTCCTTTTATCATTAAGTAATCAGGCCCTTTATCCATAATGATGTCTTTTCTGTTTGCCTTAAGATCTGTCTGATATTAATAGTATGACAGTAGCTTTCTTGGGTTAATATTTGTCTACTATATATTTTCCATTCCTCTCAGAACCATTTTGTATTTTGAGTGTGAATCTTGTAAAAATTATGTAGCTGGATTTTATTTTAAGTTCTAAGCAGATAATCTGTTTTTACTTTAACAAACAGATTCAGTCTATTTACATATAATTAGAGTAATATGTTGACTCATTTTGAGCTAATTATTTTGTGTTTTATATTTACTCTGCTTTTCAAATCCTTTTCCTTCTTTCCTGCCCTCTACTGAGCTGATAGACTATTTTTGTGACCATCTATTGTTTGGAATGATACATTCTCCTCTCCTATTCTTTTAGCAGTTATACTGAAGTTTGCAAGTACATATTTATCAAAATCTAAAGTTAATCAGTATCTCTATATTCTCAAGTACAATACAAATTCTTAAACTGTTTTAAATGCTTGCTCATCTTGTCTTAAAACATCCAAATTTAGTCATTATTGTTGTAATTATTATCTTAAATAGCTAACTTAGATTTAGTCACATGCAATGGTTTTGCTTCCTACGGCCTCCAACAGCCTATCTTTGTCTCTTGGGTTCCATTTCACTCTTACTTCTCTTGTCTTTGTGTGAAAATGTTTTTTCCTATTTTTTTTGTAATTTTCCCATGGCTCTCTTGATTCTAATTTCGTAGTTGCTAACGAGAAGTCTGTTGTCGATGCAATTGCCATTTTGCACAAATGTCTCTTTTCTCTCAGGGGGTTTTACGATGTCATCTTTTGGGGTCTGCAGTTTTACTACAAGCCATCCTGGGGTGAGTCTGCTTTTTCTTCTTCCTGCTTGGGATGCATGTCTTTCTCCAGTTCCAGAACATTCTCAGCACACCATTTAAACATTGCTTCTTTCCTACTTTCTTTCTTTCTGTATTTTCACTCTGGAATTTCTATCAGGCCTATTCTGTTCTCTTTCAAATATTCACAATTTTCCCTGATTTTCGTATTGTCTTGCATTCCCCGAGGTGCTGATTCTCTTGTTCCTCTTGTCTACTGCTACTCGCTTACTGTGGCTTTTCTCACTGTGTGTTTTGCAATTTTCATTTGGGGCTCACCTTTAATAGTTTTATTATTCTTTCTTTTTGGCATGGGCATCTCATGTGATCGGGGCTGTAGACATATCTCAATTTCTACTATTTTGGCTTGGCTTCAGCTTGGGTCCAGAAGACCCAGGATTACTGATTTGGGACCAGTTTGGAGGTTAATGTATTGACTGGAAACTGTATTTCTATGCAGGTATTACACATTTAAACACTAGTCCACTCCATTGCAAACATATGCTAGCTAGGCTTTCAATTCTCTATTTTTATGAGATATTTCCTCAATCCAGGACACCTTAAGATAGTTCTCTTTTGTCCCTTTTCCAGACTAGACATTTTTGTCCTTTTCCCACAGAGGAAGCAGCTTCCCGGGGGCCCAGCTTTTGCAAGCCTCTCAGTTGTAGACACCCGCTTGTCTGGTCCCTGGTCCTAAGCACCGGGTCCTCTCTCTGGACCCGAGTAGCCCTCTGAGATCCCATGACCTCAGCTCAACAGCCTACCCCCTTTCTTCGTCTTTGCCTCTTAGGGATTTCTTGGACTCACTTTTAAACTTGACCAGGTAGTAACACAAGTTCATACATGGTTATATTATATCCAGGATTCCTATGTGCTTTCTGCAGGCTGGACGATCGGTATCAGGTCATTCCACCAAATCGCTAAGAGTCTGAAGGCATCCGTTTGTAAGTGCCACGTGGCACACAAGGGATAAAGAAAAGGACACACCTGGCAGTCCCTAATGGCTTCTTGAGGACGCTTCAATTGCAAATGCAAAGCCTTCCTCGAAGCTTATTCTTGTTAAAGCAAATATCCACAGCTCTTTGAAAAAACTAGCTTTCCTAGTCCTCAGGGGGCAGCAACTCTTCTTAAACGCCCACGTTCATGCGGGCTGAGCACACAGAATACACGGGAAACACTTGTTAAAGGAACAAATAAAATTAGCATCTTGCCCAAGATACACATAAAACTTCAAAGCTAAAAGGTGATAAATGTCATTTGATGGTAACCACTATGCTATAGAATCACAGTGTTTGTTCATGGTGGATTTATGATTCCTATAAATAAATAGCTTATATATTTATTTCCGGTGGATACACTTATAATAAGTAGGTTACATTTATAATAGGTAGGATACATTTATAGGTTAAGCAGAATCAATTTTACTTTGAATTTTTTAAAGTACTTGAAGCAGAACAGAGCTAAGTTCAGCCCAGGGACAACTGCTTTCCAAGCCATCTTGAAATGTGGCTAGGTTTTCTAGAAAGGATTTGCCCAGCTGAGCCTCCCGTAGTAATTGGAAGGTGGTTTCGAGGTCGGCCATATTTCCAAGGACTGTCCTGGCACAAAGCTGGCCGAGGCCAAGTTTTCCTGGACTTCTAATGGAATGCCTAAAACCTAAGTGACACATAGGCGCCTTGTGGTGTCCAGGCAAAGAGTCTGGGCATGTGGCTTTGCGTAAGATAAAACAGCTACAAAGTTTAAGCACAGATTTGACAGCGGGGTGGGGGGTGGGGGTTTGTGGTGGGCTTGCTGCCGGACTTACCGTGTAATTTCGAGTGAGGGAGATGTCAGTGCCATCTTGCAGATAATGAGTTTCTGTGAAGCCGTTAGCAATGAGACCTCTGTGGAAAAAGAAAAGCAACATAAAAGGATGAGTAGGGGAGGCCAGCAGGGCAGTGAGCATCTGACCCATCCTTATTTTGCCGACGGCCCCAGGAGGCTCCCAAAGGACCTTCCACCTATTGGGGAAGGAGTCGGGGAGACCCAGACAGGCAGGGTTCAGACACCTGGGCTTCAAACAACAGCTCCCACAGTACACGCGGAGCCCTCCCTCACCCCCGTCACCTCCTCCTTCTACCACACTACAGGCGTCTGCACCCGGTGACTCGCACATGCACGCTGGGACACGCACACAGGCACACACTCATCTACGGACAGCATATGCAGATTTCCGAGCTGGGAGAGTTACCTGCCTGGCAGTCACAAGGCTCCACCATCTAGAATCAATGGCTAAGCCACCTGTTGGGAAAATAATTCTGGATCCACACCATCACCCCTGCTGGCACTGCCTCGGGTGAGAGAACCAGCTATCAGTATTAACAGGTCAAAGAGGCGTTTAGGACAAGAAGGAAATTTGAAAAGCATTGCTGTAGGAGGTGAGGAAAAATGATTTTGGACACCCTGAAATACTGAACTTAAAAAAAAATTATTTATTTTGAGAGAGAGAGAGAAAGGGCGAAAGAGAGGATCCCAAGCAGACTCCACGTGCCGTCAGTGCAGAGCCTGATGCAGGGCTCCAACTCACAAACCGTGAGATGGGGACCCGAGTTGAAATCAAGAGTCGGACGCCGAACCGACTGAGCCCCGCAGGCGCCCCGAAGCTGAAATTCTCAGATGAATTGAAAGGAGAAAAAGCCCTATTTACCCAAACTAAGATTGTCCATGGTCTGCTAGGTCTTCAGTGATGATAGCAGAGCAGGAGTTCCTTTCGGTTTTAAATTATTTTGCAATTTCTTTGGTTATATGCACTATTTGCTCTTTTCAGCACAACCACAACACGTATTTCCTGTGCACCTACTATGTGCTAGGTGCTGTACCAGCTGCTGTGACACAAAGATAAATGAGGACATTGGCCTGATGCGGTGACGGGAAACGCAACCCGGCATGGGGAGGGCTGCCACAGTGGTAAGGACAGTCTTACAGGAAGAATGGAATGCGGTGGGTGGAATGCTGTGGAAGGAAAAGGCTTTATGCAGGAAGCCTGCAGCTGGCCGGGTGGCTGGCCGGACAGAGGAGGGGTGGCAACAGAAGGGAGTTCCGGGCGGACGATGGCCAGGCCAGGAGGTCTGAGGTTCGAAATCTGGGGAACCAGGTTGGGATGCAATGGAAAAGGGTCCTACATGGAGCAATGGGCAATGAGGAGTTGAGAGGTTTTATCTTATCTTAGTTTATTATTTTTTAAAAAATTAAATTATTTTATTTTGAGAGACAGAGAGAATGAGAGCAGGCATGTGCATGGGGGAGGGGCAGAGGAAGAGAGAGAGTGAGAGTCCCTAGCAGGCTCCAGGCCCAGCAAGGAGCCTGATGTGGGCCTCAGTCTCATAACTGTGAGATCCCGACCTGAGCCAGAATCGAGAGTCAGATGCTTGGGGCATCGGGTGGCTGAGTCGGTTGAATATCTCAGTTTTCATTTCGGCTCAGGTTATGATCCCTGGGACTTGGGATCGAGCGCTATGTTGGGGCCCTGCGCTGAGCACAGAGCCTGCTTGAGATTCTCTCGCTCTCGCTCTCTCCCTCTGCCTATCTCCCCACTGACTCACATACACTCTCTCTCTCAAAAAAAAAAAAAGAGTCAGACGGTTAACTGACTGAGCAACCCAGGCACCCGAGAGTTGCTGTACATACTAGACTCTGCAGGGGGCACGGTGGCTGGCGGTGGCTGTCTGCCCTCCCCGCCTCCAGAGAACGAGCTTCACACCATCGGCTGTGCTGGGGGTAGGATCTGAGCTGGCCCACCACCACCCTTCCCTACATCACGCTGTGAGCTGGTGCTTCTGGGGAAAAAGTGCCTCTCTGTTCTCAAAGCTCCAAGAATGTGCTCACAGGGCTGCCCTCAGCCTGGTCCCTTGCTTTAGGAGGACACTGCCCAGACACAGCCACCACTCAGCTCTGGCACAGGGGAGAAAGGGGGAGACTTTCCACGTGTGCTGGGGACCCACTCTGCCTCTCCCCTTCCTCAGTAACCCCCTCTCCTTTCCTTCCGTTGGCTTGAGTTAGGATTTGCACCCAGAGGGCTGACAAATCGGTGGTGAGGAAACAGAAGTGGGAGGTTACTGACGTAACAGGCGAGGAGCACTTTCCTTATAGTCAATTTCTTCAGCTCCTCTCCCAGCCAAGTCCAGAACTCAAAGTAACTTCCCCTTCTTACATGGATTTCGATGTCTTTGGGAGATGCCTACATACCATCATCATCATCATACAGGCCTTACAGAGGTCTGACTTGTGCTCTACTTCCCAGCGAGTGTTGGAGACGTGTGTGCCCAAAACACAAAACAGATGATCTCTCACACTCGCCTCCCGCCCCGCGCCTTCCCGCACTCTGCTCAGGAATACGCAGAGCGCGCTGGAGGGGGCCAGCCTCCCGCTGCTTCTGGTCTCAGGTCCTCCTCGGCTACGTGTCCTTCCTGGGAGCTTTCTGAGGACCCTCTGAGCAGGCTCACGGCTGGGGAGACTTCCGTCCTGCTGGGATGGGCACACGGAGGCGTGGGAGGCCGGCGACCCTGGCAGGGGCAGCTGCAAGGGATGCCGCGGAGATGGGGACAGAAATGGTCAATGCGTCTTTCCAGATGCTGGTTCTGAAGGGAAGCAGAGAGATGGGATGTGAAATCAAGAGGAAGGGGCTTGAGGAGCCTGGTCATCTAAAGGGAGGGGCTGGAGAAATGGGGCGGAGAGGGGGTAAGACAACGCCGGGGGGGGGGGGCAGATAAGGATTCCCAAAGCACAGGGGACGGGGGGGAGGAGGAGGAGTCATGGCTGCATGAGGAAGGGCCTGTAACAGCGGTAACAGCCGGGGAAAGAGGGCTTGGTCAGCTTCAAGATCACAGAGGAGGAAAAGCAGATTTAATACAATTCAAGTTATATTGTTACTACTTATATTACTTACTGTTCATTTATAATTTTATTAGTTTGCTTCTATTTTGTTAATACTTTAGTAGTTCTGCTCTAAACAGTGCTGGATCCTTATTATTTTTTTTAATGTTTATTTAGTTATGAGAGTGCACAAGTGGGGGAGAGGCAGAGAGAGGGAGACACAGGATCCGAAACAGGCTCCAGGCTCTGAGCTGGCAGCACAGAGCCCGACACGGGGCTCGAACTCACAAACTGTGAGATCATGACCTGAGCTGAAGTCAGATGCTTGACCAAATGAGCCACCCAGGCGCCCCTGGATCCTTATGTTGATTGAACCTAATACTAAGAGGAGTGACACACTCTTAGGAATTTGTAGAGATATAATTTATAACACAAAGTGTAGAGATATAATTTATAACACAAAGAGGTAACATTTTAAGGCTTTGTAACTGAAAGCTAGGTTGGATGGATGTGCGGGGAGAAGACGGACTTCATGTGTGGGGGCCATGGGAAATCCACCAGGAAAGCCAGGAATTGGAGATGAGCTTCTGCTACAGGACAGTCAGCAAACGTGTGGACAAGAGGGATCTTGGGGCCACAGCAGCAGAAAAATTAATTGTGAGCTTTTATTTTTTTTTAATGTTTTTTATTTATTTCTAGGAGAGAGTGAGAGAGACAGTGTGAGCAGGGGAGGGTCAGAGAGAGAGGGAGTCACAGACTCTGAAACAGGCTCCGGGCTCCGAGCTGGCAGTCAGCACAGAGCCCGACGCGGGGCTCGAACCCACAAACCGCGAGATCATGACCTAAGCGAAAGTTGGACGCTTAACCGATGAAGCCACCCAGGCGCCCCAATTGTGAGCTTTTAAAATGGGACTCCATATACTAACGCAAAGACACAGGAATACTTCTGCCTTAAAAAACCTGCTTTTCCTTGTTGTCCAAATGTCACTGAAACAGAAATACCATCTCAGTCATACTCTGAGTTCTAGTGAGTTCTGAAACAAGATCGTGGTTTCCTTTGGCTGCAGAGTAATGCCTGAGCATGTCGCCGGAAGCTGACATTGAGGACTTGCTCCTTTCTGAGTTCTCATAGAATGTGGGAAAGACACGGCCTGGGGACAGGCGCAGGGATGGCACTGTGGGCGTTAACTTTCTCAGACGGAGGGAGGCACGCAGTCAGAGCAGACGCTCAGGTGCTCCAGGCTCGGCCTGACATCCTGAGGTCAGAGAGGCGGGACCTGCCCACACCCCGCTGTCACCTGAGGGACTGAGACAGGCGATGGAGGGAAGCCGGCTGGCACAGCCTCTGAGGACCTCTGCAGCGCTCGAGCCACAGGGCTGCACTTCCCCAGGGGGGCTCCAGGGAGGGGGTGTCCGTGGGCCACACACCACACAACTGGACCCATCCCGCTCTCCGCACTGACCTCCTTTCAGTGCCAGACAGCCCCTGCTTAAGGCCCCGAATGCCTTCTCACTGCCCTTGGAATGAATTCCTAATGCCTTCCATGCTCATATCTTACCCTCCCAGCACACCGTGCCTGCTTTCCTGTGACTCAGTCTACCCCAGCCAATACTGCCTCCTGCAACATTCTAGAACATTTCACATCCTATCCTACTTGGAGCTTTTGGACTTGCTGTGCCCTGTGTCCAGAATGTCCCCCGCATGGCTTGTCATGGGGCTGCTCCTTTCATCCTTCAGGTATTTGTTGAAATGTCTCTGTAGAGCGGCCTTTCCTGATCATCTTACCTGAAGTGGCCTCCATCACCTCCCCATCAACATCCTTGAACCCCTTTGGTTTCTTTACTTGTCCGCGTCCCCCTAAGAATATAAGCCACAGGAAGTCTCTTTACTTGTCATTGCGGTCCCACAGCCCCTTCCCCCCAGGTGTATCTCATTGAATCCTGATAGTGCTTAGTATCCAGTTCTGTGGGTTAGATACCATTTTTGCCCCAATTAAACAAGAAAACTGAGATACAGGGAGTTTAAGTGATGCACCAAGGTCACACCACCTGTGGCAGCACTAGAGTGGGTTTTGGAGCAAAACTTGCACTCTATTTTTTATTTTTATTTTTTAACATTTATTTATTATTGAGAGAGAGAGAGACTGGGCAGGAGTGGGGGAGGGGCAGAGAGCAAGGGAGACACAGAATCTGAGGCAGGCTCCAGGCTCTGAGCTGTTGGCACAGAGCCCGACGTGGGGCTCCAACTCACACACCGCAAGATCATGACCCGAGCCGAAGTTGGATGCTTAACTGACTGACCAACCAGGTGCCCCAGAATTTGTACCCTTTTTTTTTTTTTAAGTTTTATTTATTTCTGAGAGAGTGAGAGAGAGACAGCGTGAGCAGGGGAGGGTCAGAGAGAGAGGGAGACACAGAATCCGAAGCAGGCTCCAGACTCTGAGCTAGCTGTCAGCACAGAGCCCGACGCGGGGCTCAAACCCATGAACTGTGAGATCATGACCTGAGCCGAAGTCTGACGCTGAACCGACTGAGCCACCCAGGCGCCCCCAGAATTTGTACTCTTAACCACCGTGTGGTGCTGCCCTTATAGGCTCCTCAGGAAATGTTTACTGAGTGTCTGAGGCAGGTGCTGTGCTAAGTGCTGAATAAGTATATGTCGAGTGGAATAACAGACGGACAAGTGGATGGATGGACGAATGGATGGATGGATGAATGTGTTTCAGGAGAAAGCTATGGGCATATTCTTTTTGTCTAGGACAGATACCTCTCAACCTGGGTAACCTGTGTCCCATGCCTTTCTCAGGGGCCATGACTTGCTGAGAAGCCATGGCCGAAACCGAGAATGTGCTCACTTGAGGCTTTCTCAGATGTGTGTTTAATTTAAAAGGGGCTAGAAGTCAAAGGTCCCGTGAGAAAAAAGAGGAGGTGGACAATGGCCATATTGGAAATGCAATAGCAAGGGACCCATTTCCTTTAGATTTCCCCAAGGAGAAAATCCAATTAGATGGATTCTCTATGTCAGCAAATGAAAACAGAAGGTGAACGCATAATTTCATGAGAGCATTCTTTTACTCTACTATTAGATTAGCTGATCTAACAAGGGATTCTGTTCTTCCTTACACCAGAAAATAAAATGCCGGGACTTGATTTTGCTATTTTACATATATTTTGCTATTATAACTGACACCTCGATATTCTCTAATTTAATATTTATTGTGCTGGACACTGGGAATAAGACACCCCACAAGCTCACCATCTGGTGAAAGACAGATGCAAAGAGTAATGAGAGCTCCATGATAGAGAGATGTCCACAGCATTGCAGGAGTTCAAGGAAAGGCTTCTAACCCAGAAGCCCTGAGGGGGGGGTGGTACCCAAGTGAGTCATGAAAGATGGAGAAGAAGTCAAGTGTGAGGGATAGTGAGGCAGGAGATGGAGAAGAACGAGGAAGAGACGATTCCAGAAAGGGGCAACTACTTTCTCAAAGGCATGGAGTGTACAGGAAGAGTGTGCTAGTGGGGGCTGGGCACAGGAAATGTGAAGCCATGTGGAGTTCCGGTGTTGGGTGTAAAGTTTGAAGTAGGGAGACACACTGCTGCTCAGATAGGCAGGCTGGGGACTAGTCCTGCAAGTTGCAGATATTGCTGACTTCAGTCCGTGTAATGGGAGCCATTAAATGTGGCAGTGACCTGAGCAGACACAAGCTTTGGAGTCGGCTCTGAAGGCTACTCTGACAGCCATCTAGATAAGACTGGGGGAAAGAAACAACCACAGCAGGAGGGTTATTTAGAGGAAGCTGGTGTCAGCGTCCAAACAAACGGCCAGACCAAGATACAAGCCTTTGGGATGGGAAATACAGATGAGGGGACAGAATTAGGACCCTCAGTTGACACCTGAGATGGGTAGTTCATACAGGAGGGAAAAGAGACAGTGGATTCCACCTTGGTCATGTGGAGAGCCGGCTACCCAGCAGACATACTCTTGAATGTCCAACAAGAAGCTGACTCCCCAAGTCTAGAGTTGAGGGAGTGGCTTGAGGGTGAAGACAGAGATGGAGACACTCAGACAGCAGGGGAACAGGCCTATTTATGTCCTCAACTTGAAAGCACCCAAATACATGAATCAATCACAAACATAAAGAAACTCGATAATAATACAATATTAGAAGAGGACTTTATCACCCCACTCACAGCAATGGACAGGTCATCCAAGCAGAAAACCAACCAGGGAACAGTCGCTTTAAATGGCACATGAGACCAGATGGACTTGAGAGATCTACTCAGAACATTTCATCTTAAAGCAGCAGAATACACATTCTTCTTGAGTGCAGAACTGATCACCTACTAGGTCACAAATCAACCCTCAATGAGTACAAAAAGATCAATATCATACCGTGCATATTTTCAGACCATGCCATGAAACGTGAAATCAGCCACAGGAAAAAATTAAGAAAGACCACAAATACTTGGAGATTAAAGACCACTGTACTAAAGAATGAATGGGTTAACCAAGAAATTAAAGAGGGAATAAAAAAGTACATGAAGCCAACAAAAATGAAAACACAACATCCAAAATCTTTGGGATGCAGCAAAGTGGACATAAGAGGGAAGGAGAGAGAAATCCCGGCCTTCCTAAAGAAGGAAGATGGGTTTAGAGGGGGATAGGAAGAAGCTCATCCTTTCCAGTTGAACTCTGTATTTCCTAATTTCAAAGTCTTTGGGTATATGTGGCTAGAAATGATCATTTATAATTTACATTAAAACACTATGATGTAGGGGTGCCTGGGTGGCTCAGTCAGTTAAATGTTCGATTTTGGCTCAGGTCATGATCTCGTAGTCCGTGGGTTCAAGCCCCATGTCGGGCTCTATGCTGACAGCTCAGAGCCTGGAGCCTGCTTCAGATTCTGGGTCCCCTTTCTCTCTGCCCCTCCCTTGCTTGCTGTCTCTCTCTCTCTCTCAAAAATAAACATTAAAAAACATTTTTAAATACTATGATGTAGATAACATTTTTCCTTATAAAATTTCTTACATTTCTGAAATGATTTGTGGATTGGAATAAAAAAAATTATCCCCAAGTTGCCCTTTTAAGTCAATATTGAAATGACCCCACTTTGAATTTACTATTATATAATTTAGTTAAATTGTTTGAGATGGATTTCATCGAAATGAATATTTTATTTCCCCAAACATAGGAGACCAAAAAGGAACACATACTCATTTTTACCTCTGGGATCCCTTTCTCCATCCTTCCTCCATTAATGTTTCCCTGTGTTGTACCAGGACTCTGCTACAGGACTTTCCTTTGGCTCTACCTTGTTTCTTGGTCACTTGTCTTCTCCCACACTGGGTTGAGCTAAGGGGCAGAAACTATGTCCCTAAGTTAGCATAATGCCTAGTACACAGGAAGTGCTTAATAAATAAACAGATGACAAACACAGAATCATTATTATAGAAAAGCAACCCAATCTGGACAGAACGTGTTCCATCTAATTCGATCAATTAAAAATAAAAGACATGGTTTCAAATTGTGGTCACGGATCCTGGAGGGGGTCTGGGGCGGGGACCATCACATTCACTCCATTGTTATTTCAAGAATTATAAATGCTGTCAGGTCATCAAGACCAACCCTGACAACTTGTCTTCAATTTCAGAACTGCTTAAATGAGGGAAATAGGGAAAAGAAAGCTAAGAGGTTGGCATTAATTATTTAGAACATAAAAAACTCATTGATGACATGTCAACTTTTTCCTATTACTTCTTTGAAGCCGATACATATGGTTTAAGGGTTTAATTATTCTGTGCGACATACTCCCGCAAACACATCACAAGATAGCTCTTGTGTGTCAGTTACACCAGAAGACACCGCGGATACCCTTTGCAATTAAATCACACATGCACTAAGGAATCTCTCTAGGAAAGCCACTTGGTATTCAGAGCATCCAGCCCAGTTTTCTGCTGCAGATTGACTTTGCTACAAGTTATTATTCCACAAATTACCAAATCATTCATATATAAATTTGGGTAATGGTTTTCTTTACAGGAATTTGGAAATGCAGCTATGAATATGTTCATATGACGGATAAACCATCTGGAGCTTCAACAAAACAGAACACATAATAAAAAGCATAATTAAAAATCATGATCAGGACTTTCCTAGTTACGAAAATGAAGATCCTTTATTGAAAATGGTCTATTCCTCAACCAGAGCTAAGTAAATATAGAGAAAAGATCAAGAGGAAAACCAATATGTACCCAAACTGGATGCTTCATACACCAAAAGAACTCCTGGTTTTCAGTGAAAACTCTACACTGACTGCAGTCATGGGACCCTTCACACTCATATCATTGGCTCTTCTGGACTCTTCTACAAAGAGATCAGACAACTGAATAATTCTCTATAAAGAGAGTGCATAGTATGAAATAAGAGAAGGAAAATGAAAAATAAGAAAAAGAACCAAGATCTGGCATTTTCTATGGCTCAGCTTTGTTTGAACTACTTTTAGAGCTTAGTCCTTATAAATATTTATGCTTTTTGTTTTCCCTGTGGGGAAAGTCAGCCTGGTAAACAATTTATGCTCTGGGTTCTTGATTTGGGGAGTGAAAGCAAAAGCCACTACCTATCACCACTACCATTTATGACTTGTCTTTGTAACCTGCACTGCCATCTCCCTGCTATTGTTTGCTTATAGGGTTTCAGCCTCTGGGACACCTGCCTTTTAAAGTGCAACATTCAACCTTGGTGTTGGCAGAGACCCTGTGGCGTAGGGCCTGTTACCATCTATCTGCCTAGAAATGAAGAGGGGAACACTCAGAGACATTAAGGGATTTGTCCAGAGCCACATAGCTGAGCCAGTGGAGACTGAACTTGGCCCCATTTGGCTCCAAACGCTACCTCATCCTAACCAATGGCCCACACTGCCTTGCCAGGAAGAAATGTTAGTGCATGGCCCTTAAGGTTTGAAAAATAAGTAGCAGCAAATCATATTCTATCTTTCCCTGAAATAATTTCTTCCACCCTGCAAAATGGGGCTTGCGTGGTCTCTCCTAGCACTCAATTCAACTTTGCTACAAAATTCAAATTATTTTTGGTTATAATTTTGGTGTTTGGGGATCCTAACTATTCAGAGCTGTACATCTGTAGGAACAATGAAGCATTTACATTCAATTTTCTTTTGTTATTCTCTATTTGCTGAAATACTCAAAATGATTAAATAACTTCCCCCCTTTCACAATAAAAAAAGAAAGCTCCCTTTCCCCAGCTCTTTCTCATTTAGTTTCACTAACTGTAATAAATAAAACCGTTGAGACGGCATTTTGGAAACTACAGGGGACAATTAAGTTTCCGGCAAAATAATTTCTTAATGTACTGCTCCCAAATACGCAGAATTTTGGATCAAATCATGGGCCATTTATACTGAAAGATGTTACGACTATCATTTGGGGCTCTTCAGATGACCCCATCCATCCACAGAATGCACAGATCACATGTGCCACCAAAGACAGTTGTAGACTTGGTAGAAATCTGTGTAACAGGAGTGGGGCCATATTTGACAGCCGCATTTTCCAAGTAAAACATAAGAGCAGGTGAATAATGTTGGGTTCCTGCCACTGCTACTCCTTAGCTGTCATTTTGCTTGGCCTTAAAGCTTTGGGCTACTTTCTCCCTTTTAAATGACTACCTGTAGTTTCAAAGTCTTTTGAATGTGGGCTTATAACTGTTTCTAGGTGGTTCTCAATGGACTATGATGGTTTTCATAGTATGGGATTTATCAAGTTTAATTTATATATATATATTTTTTAATGTTTTTTTTAAATTTTATTTATTTCTAGGAGAGAGAGAGAGACACACAGCGTGAGCAGGGGAGGGTCAGAGAGAGTGGGAGTGACAGACTCTGAAACAGGCTCCAGGCTCTGAGCTGGCAGTCAGCACAGAGCCCGATGCGGGGCTCGAACCCATGAACCACGAGATCATGACCTAAGCGAAAGTCGGACGCTTAACCAACTAAGCCACCCGCGCCCCTATATATTTTTTTTTTTTAAAGAAAAATAGGGTTGTGAGACAGGAAAAGTTGGAAACCCAACAAACCGTGAATTCCAAAGGCAAACAAAGCCTCATAGCCTCTTTCTGTAGATGGGACTGTAAGAGTAGATTGTACAGATTAGCTTACACTCTCCTCTTCAAGCATTTCTGCCAGCACAGGTAAAACAGCTGTTTTCTAGGCTTCAGAATTTTTTTCTTTTGAAAAACAGGTTGGCTGAAATAGCAGCAGCAGTAGCTAACATTCACTGGACTCCTACTAAGCAAAAGCACTTTGTATACATTATTTTATTTAACTTTTACAGCAACCCTAGTGAGCTGGTGCCCATTTGGAGGAGAGGAAGCTAGGATCAGCGGAGTTTAGTGACTTGTCTAGAGTCATACAGCTGGTACTGGGAAGACAGTCCGATTTCACCACCCCAGATCTCATTGCTACGCTTCCATTTGCCTTTTCTGCTCGTCTCTCTTGCAAGGGACACTGTGTTTAATATGCCGATTCCTGACTCTGAAAACAATTAGAAAGAAATTGTGGTTTGGGTTGGGTCGGTCTATTTCCCATTTATTGCCAGGGTTTAAAAATGAAAAGAAGTAATTAGGAGGGGTATGAACCAGGCTTCTGTTCACCTCTAGTCTGAGGAATGATCACCTAAGAGTAGCTATTTTACGTGTACTGGCGTAGAGAAGGTTGTCACTATTCTATGCATAAAGGTGAAAAGTTGAATCATGTAAGTGAATGAAGAATGAAGCCTATTTATATTTTTTCACTGGTGCCAAACATTATCCGAAAACAACAGAAGCCAAATCAACCTTTATTCATGTTCTAATTACCCATAGTGCCCTATGCTGCAAATGGTATTTACATCTGCAGCTCACTGAGCACTGCATGGTCTACATCATTGCAGGACGCAAGAGCACATGTTGTAACTAGTGGCTCCTTAAATCTCTACGACGACCATTTTATAAAGCAGAGAAACTGAGGCTCAGAGGTGTTAAGAAACAAGAAACACGTCCAAGTCACAAAGCTATCAAGTGGCAATAGGGTGAGGCTGTTAGATGCTGAGACAGCCTTTGCCCATCATCTGTATATGGAAAAACATGCCTCTGCCTCCGTTAGCCCAACACAATTCTTGCTTGATTACTATTTTTTGTTTGTTTTCATTTATTTCTGAGAGACACAGAGAGAGCACGATTGGGGAAGTGGCAGAGAGAGAGGGAGACACAGAATCTGAAGCAGGCCCCAGGCTCTGAGCCGTCAGCACAGAGCCCAATGTGGGATGCGAACTCAGGACCTGAGCCATAGTCAGATGCTTAACCGACTGAGCCACCCAGGTGCCCTTCTTGGTTGATTATCTTAAAAGATGCAGGACGTAATGGACCAACTGAATACGGAGCACAAGGGTATTACAGCCAAGGGAAGTGCCCTCAAGGGCTGGTGGGGGTGTGTGTGTGTGGGGGGGTCTTCCTTCTTCACTTTTGAGGCTCCTTCTCCTGGCCAGTTCCTGGCTCCCTTCAGGCAATATCTGCAGGATGCTTGGGCTGATATTTCCAAGTAATAAACATTCAGACAAGGAGACATATCTACCCTCAAAATACATCTCTGGCAGGGAGTACAGCAGAAGTGGTTGAGAACAAACCTCGTTCCACTATTTCTTTCTTTGTGACCTTGGGTGTACAAGGTCACCTTGTTGTGTTAGAGGTCCCTTATCTAAAATGGCGATACGAGTACCTGCTTCAAAGAGTTCTTGTGAAGATAAGATGTGTTAAATGCTTATACGTGCCTGGCCCAGATTCTGTGCTCAATAAATGAGAGCCATCAGTATTATTAATAAACCCGTCAGCTTCTGCCCCCCTCACCCCTCCATCTCTCCATTCCAGGACTTCGTTTCCTCTGGCCCGAGCTCCTGTTTTCACCCTTGTCCTTTCCCTGTCCACTTCCCACACGACAGCCAGAGTCAAATTTTAAAGACAAAAATCAGACCATGTCATTCTTCCACTTAAAACCCTATACTCCCCTCCTACAGCGCCTGGAGGGAGAGCAATTCACACCCTGGAGTGTGGACAGGCCCTGCCTCCCTCTCCGCAGGTCCAGCTAACCTCACTTCCGCTCTGGGGCCTCCTTTTGGTTTCTCAAGGCTTCCATCCTTTCTTATCTTGGTCTGTGGCATTCTTTCTTCTTTCTCTCCCTGGCCAAATAGTTGTAACTGTCACCCTAAATGACATGTTCTCGTTTTCTAGAGTAGCCTTCTCTGCCGGCCCCTTTCTACACGCGGTGCGCCTTGTAGTCGCTCCGGCAGGATCCTGCCCTGTTCCGGTTCCGCCTGCTGCCATTTTGCTTATCTGCTCTGTGACTTGCCTGAGGCTACGTCTTCCACCAGGCCAGAGGCCTCATCCCTCTGATTGCCTCTGTAGCTTCAGCCCTTAGAGTAAGGCCGAGAACCTAATAGGGATTCAATAAGCATGTTTTGAAGGGATGTAATAATCAAGAACAAGGAAAATACATCAAAGGCGCTCAGACGCAATTCACAGTCATGACTGAGTTGCTGCTGTTTTGCGGTATGAGGGGTTTCTTCCTGCTCCAAAACACAACACCCGTCGCCACCTCCACCACCACCGAAACCACACAAAACCTGACAGAAGATACTTAAAACTTCCATCACCGTGAACAGATCTGGCCTTTGGTTCACACCGTGGAGCAAATAAAATGTTTTTCTTCCTTTTGGTCTTCAAAGAACATTTTTCTCAATTTGTAGCAATAGAACAAGCCGAGCCGGACTTGGAACCGCCAAATCACAACACCTTTGCATCCTGGGACACAGAGCTTTACGTGAAAAATAAAACGACTCTGGTATGCATGTACCTTGCTTGCAGCAGCTGACGCTTGGGAGGCTGCTGGTGTTAACCGGCACTTTCTGCGGAGCCCAAGGCTGGGAGTCGAGCTGCCCTGCAGGTCTGATGACCTGGTAAAGCTGTTTCGCAGAGAGCTGGATGCGGTTCAGCCCGTTTTCCTCACCCACACCGCTCCGTGAAGAACTTTTATTAATTGGTGCTCAGAGGCAAAAGTGGGAATTTTCTTGGCCACAGCGGAAGCCAGCCAGCCAGCTCCCAAGCAGACTTGCAGACAGGCCAGCTGGGCTCTCTTAAAAACTGACCTACATTGAACCAAGCTCGTAGAATGTGTGCTAGATCAAATTTGTTCCCTTCTGCTTACTCAGAGACAGTTCTGCTCTGCAAATTTCCACACCGTCACTGCCAGGAGATAGATGCCAGTCATGGCCCGTGATGGCAGGGGAGAAAGACCCCAGCTTTCTCAAGGTTTCTCAATCAGCCACTGAACTATTCAGACCTTCCTGCTG